AAATAAATAAATAAATAAATAAATAAATAAATAAATAAATAAATAAATAAACAGACCATGGCTGAACCTCCTCTGCTCCTCTGTGGAGGCGGAGCAGAGCGATGGGGCTGAGATGCTGGGGCCCTAAAGACCCGCTCTGTGTGCTCAGGTGTCCATCGTGAAGAGCGAGGAGACCAAAGTGCGGCAGGAGGACCTGAGCAAGCTGCTGTACGAGGTGCAGCTCCTGCGGACGCAGCAGGACAACATGGAGTGCCAGATGCAGGACATGAAGCAGTGAGTCTGAGGCCTCGTTCGGCCTCTTCCCCTCACAGCCCACAAACAGCCAGCCTGAGTCTGCCCAGGAGGTCAAAGGTGGTCAGGCCCCAGCTTCTACTGGCTTAGAAACACAGGACTTTTTAATTCAGCCTTTATTTAGTATTAATATATGGATGGAAAGAGCATGTTCTTATCACATGAATAGAAACAGCATTTCATTAGTTTATTTATTAGTAGATTTATTATCATGTGGATAGAACCATCATTTTATTAGTATATTTATCGGTATATTTATTAGTATAAGGATGGAAACAGCAATTTTTTAGTTTATTTATTATCATATGGATAAAATCAGCATTATGTTAGTTTATTTATCAGTATATTTATTAGTATTAGAATAGAAAGATAATTTCATTAGTAGATTTTTTAGCATATTTCTTATCATATGGATGGAAAGGGCATTTAATTGGTATGAAAATGTTCTCAGCTTTGTTCATCAGGTCCAAGCGGTGACCACAGGTTACTGTAATCTAAGCCAGTCTCAGTTTCTCTTTTTTTTAAACTCCACAGAGGGACAAAATGTCAGTAAAATAAGAATCGACTCTTAAATCACATTTAAGGTCCAAGTTCAGAAGCATTGAGATCCGTCTTGATGACTTTATTTAGACCTCTTCCAGTCTTCAGAGCCTCTTTGAACAGCCAGTAAGGCCTTCAGGTTCAGGAAAAGTGTAAACTCTGGCTCCTGTGAGCAGCTGCCCAGATGTGCAGCCCCCTGCTGGACAAAGCGGGGGCCGATGGGGTCACCCCACCCCATGGAGGGCGGTTTTTCTGCTGACGGGGCTCCAACCAGCCTGAAAGGGGCTCAGCTTTCCATCTGGAGCTGGTTATCAAGATCGTTTTGTGCCCGATTTGATGCAGAATCATCTCAGGCTGTGAGAAACACACTCTGAAACGCCTCAGACGGAAAAAGTCTGCTGAGTTTGGGGGATTTTTAAGCCTTTAAAAAGGCGGCTGAGGGTTTAATCTGTGCTTCAAAAAGAGAAGACAAGTCCTGAGAGTTTGGAAGCATTTTTCTGCCACAAAGCGAGCGGCCTGTTGCTGGTTGGAACAAACCGGCCGGTGGACGCTGGGCTTCTTTCTCTGGAGGCTATTGTTGCTGAAAATAGCTGCGCTGCGTCCTTTGTGCGGCCTATTGTCGGCCTCTGTGAGCAGAGAATGTTCACCTGCTCACCTGACCCACAACCACCGAGTCATGCAGATGAAACGGGGCCTTTGTGCCTCGTTTGGGCTGAAAGTGTGAATAAGGACTCAGATCTCTGTAATCAGGAGCTTTAGGCTTTAAAATCCAATCAGTTATCATTAATTACCCTCCTGAGATCCTGTTCTGATGTGAAGATGCTGCATTTCTGCCTCTCTGTACCAGGGTCCTTCTTTTTTCTTTGACCTTTGACCTCTTGGCCTCATAGCAGACGCTATCAGACACTACTGTTTGAAATCTAAAGGAAAACACTTTTAGACATTTTATACAAACGGGCCAATGGGAGCAGGGCATGCTGTCCCATGTGACCTGAGAAAGGAGAGGATACTGATCAGCTTTTTAGTTCTTTAGATGAAGGAAATTCATTGAAAAATATTTTTTTAGGTCTTTAGATGAAGGAAAATCTTTAGTTTGTTCAAAGAGCTCAGAAATCTCAGATTTTACTGATTTTTTACTGTATGAAATCTAAAGGAAAATGCTTCTAGACTTTTTACACCAATCATGTTCTTATTGTGTAATTAAAATTTTGTAAATAGGTCATTCAGACCCTCAGAACCAAATAGCAAAAAACATTTAATTAAATCTACAAACAAACATTTTAAAGATAAATCCACTGAGCCTCTATGAAGGAAAACTACCTGTACCAGGACTAAGTCTAGTTATTACCATTAAATACCATTTCGATGTTCTCTTAACTTAGTAAAGATGACTTAAAATGATTACTTTAATCTACTAAACTGTTGCACATGATCTCTGTTCTGTGTTTACTCCACATAAAGTATCTAAGTTTTTCTAAGTTCTTGTTACTCGAAACAGCTTTCTGCCTTACTCGCAAAAACCAAGTAGGTGTTGGTTTCAGCATCCAAGTGGGTTAAAAACAACCTAAATCACAGTTTGGTTTTCAGGCAGAACGAGGTGCTCTGGAGGGAGGTGGTGTCCCTGAGACAGAACCACAGCCAGCAGCAGAAGGTCATGAACAAGGTCTGACAGCTGTGTGTCTGTGTGTGTGTGTGTGTATATGTGTGTGTGTGTGTGTGTGTGTGAGTCCTCTGATTCTTGTGTGTTCTTTCTCTCCTCCAGCTGATTCAGTTTCTGTTCAGCCAGATGCAGCCCAGCAGCCCCAGCAGCTTGAAGAGGAAGCTGTGAGTACCAGCAGGGGCCTGACCCTGGTCCTGGTCCTGGTCCTGGTCCTGGTCCTTCTTCTTCTTCTTGTCTTTGGCTTCATCACCACATTGTCCTTTACCGGAGGTCCATAAACCGGAGGTTTATGCCTCTGTTTTGTCCCCCGTGCCCCCTTCAGGCCCCTGATGTTGGACGACGGCTGCCCCAGCCCCCCTGCCAACAAGTTCAGCCACCAGATGGAGCACATGCACGAGTCCTTCTACATCCAGTCGGTGAGCAAAGCTCCGGGCTAAACTTACAGTCATGTGAGGAAATGCGGCCCCCCCTTTGATGGAGTAGAAATTGATTAGGTAGAATCCATAGAGGACGTTTAAAGCTGACACTCGACAAGTATCTCAACTCAACTTTATTTAAAGAGCCCTTTAAGAACAGCCACAGCTGAGACAAAGGGCTGAACATGGACAATGAGACAATGAAAACAATAAGCAAATAACTATTTCAAAACACAGAAACAAAGTCTTGAGCTGGGTTAAAAACCAAGGAATAAAAATGTTTTTTAAGACAAGCTCAGAGAATAAAACTACAGGGGGAAAAAACCTAGAAGTGAAAAATCGAAAAACAAACAAACAGACTCTACGAGTTTAAATAAAAACACTACTTCCTGGATTTTAAAACATTTCCCCCCTCATCTGAAAGGCTTTTTGAGTTCTGAGGGTCCCTCCTGATGAGAGGTGACATAATAAACCGAGACAAAACCTGAATCCAGGAAGGACAGACCAGGATCTGGCCCAGAGACCAGGGAGGCAGACTCTGAGGACACGGGAGCAGCTGGACACAGTCAGGGGTCAGGGAATCAGACTGGTGGCACAACAGGAAGACACTAGAAACAAGAGAATTTCAAAATAAAACAGGAAATGACCAAAACAGGATATAAAACAACCCCAAAAACCGTCCAGGCGGGACACACATGCAGGAACATCCTCTTGTTGGACAAAAGAGGAGCTCTTTCTGGAGCCCTGTGTCCCCTCAGTGGGCCTTTGCAGTGACTATAATTAGGCGGCTTCTGAGCTGCTGACCTTCCACTTGAGCTCCAAATGGCGCCGCATGCAGAGAAACCGGGCTTTGAACTTAGCCGCTGGCCTTTCTGGTTGCTGAGCCATGCTGGGGGGGAGGAGGGGTGGGGTTAGGGGTGGGGGTGGGGTAATCAGATTACTCTGGAGCTGCCTGTAAAGTGAAATCCATCCCATCACATCATTACCGGGATGTGGATCTGCCTTACTCAGCACTGTGGAACACTAGAGGGAGGCAGAGAGCAGGACAGATGTGATGGGACAGATGTGATGGGACAGATGTGATGGGACAGATGTGATGGGACAGATGTGCAGGGCGGACACACGGCCTCCAGGCTGGACCTCAAACCACTTTCCTGTGCAAAG